ATACTATAATAATATTTAATATTTTTATTTATTATTTTTATTTACTAAAATAAATATAAAATAAGTTAGTCATTTTATTATTATTTTATTCTTGAAATAAATAAAATATTAATATTAATATTAATATTAATAATAGAAACAAAATAAAATAATAATTTTGTCTCTATCTTAATTTTTGCATTTGCATATTTTAACTATATTTTTTATATTTTAAAAGCTTTTATGACTATTTTAACGCTACATTAGTTTTCTAAGGACAATACTATATTTTTTTTTAGAAGTAAAATAAAATTTTAATATTAATAATAGAAACCAAATAAAATAATAATTTTGCCTTTATCTTAAATTTTTCATTTGCGTATTTTAACTATAATTTTTATATTTTAAAAGTTTTTATGAGTATTTTAACATTACGTTAGTTTTCTAAGGACAATACTATTTTTTCTTTAATGTGACTCAGCAATTATAAAATTTGATTTTTTTTTTTTTTGAGATACTTTAAAATCGTTTATTTTCTAATTTTTGAGTTTTGAATTATTAAAGTTTCATTCATAACTGATATGTTGTGATGACATCTCCTCTAACTTTTTCTTGCTATTTTTTATTTTTCACTATGTCCCTCTTGATTCTTCTATTTAAAATAATATTAAAAATCTTTTGATGCATTTTGTCTTTTTTTTATGACAAATAGTATTTCTGAATTATTGCTTTCGTTCATGCTTTTTAAAAACAAATTATATTTCTTAAGTTAATGCAATATAAAAAACACAACCTATTGAAAATGCACATCCCTCAGTAATAAGCGTGCATTTTTTATTAAGCATAATTGATCTATCTCACATTGAAGTTATTATTTCTCTTGTGCAACAAGAAGCCCGTAACCCAATAAAAAAACGTACATATTTTTATTTATGATAATTTATATCTTTCACTCAAGTTACTATTTCCCATATCTATGTTTAATGGGAAACGTGTGGGTTAAGCAAAGAAATTAGTGTTAATCTTACCTCTCACCCCTAAATCTCTCCCTCGCTCACGCTTTCCTTTTGTTTTGTCTTTTTCTGTTTTTTTTTTAAGATCATACTCTTTGCTTATCTCTCGCAATCACAGTTCCTTAAATCTCTCTCCCCTCTTATTGTTGAAATTAGGTATTGATCAATGTATATAAATTCTTATCACTCTTTTGCTTACAATAAGGTTAATGCTTCTTGAGCATGCCTTAATGGATTAATATATTAAATATAGACTTTAAGAGGATCTAATGTTTTAAATTAATATATTTGATATTATCTATTACTTTTATTTATATAATTTAAATTTTTATTTAAATCATCTTTATTAATTTAATTATGTGTTAAATGGATCAGTGTTAATTAATAATATATTAAAAGTAATATTTACTATCATATTTACTAATAATTAATAGAATATTTTAATTGTGAAGATGAATGCATTAAATTCTCTCTCTCCAAAATAATGTTTTATTAAAAAAATTCAATGATAAATATATTTCAGTGATTAATATTAAATATCATATGCAACGCACATGCATATTATTAGTTTAAATTAGTGGGAGAACCTTTTATAACTAGATGTCCCTAGTCTAGTCTATTATTAGAGGTCTCAAAATCAAACCCTCTTCTCTCTCTGTCTCTTTGGGGGTGGCAATGGGTTGGGTGGGTTTGGGTCTCGGTTACTCGACCCAACTAGGTTTCACTTGCATGCAGACATGATCACAGTCCAAGTGACTTGAACACGGATGTGACCAAGACCTGGATCGGTCCAAACCATTTGGACCTAGACCCGACCTGGGCCCTGGTCTAAAAATTAAAAAAGATAAAAAAATTATTTTAGATATTATGTAATATATATTTTAATGTGCAGTCAGATTGGGTGGGGTCAACCTAGACTCGAACTTGTATCTGACCCAACCCTATTGGGTCCATGCCAGATCTGGATCCGGTTCAAGTCTAAGTCATTTGGAGTCAGACCCAATCCGGTTTGATTTGAAGTCATTTGGACCTAGACCAGACCCACAAGGTTGAAAACATGGACGCCGATTCGGTTCAGGTCGACCCACCAGACACGCACTGATTGCCAACCCTACTTTTGCTCGCTTCTGCACAGTGTCCCAATTCTCGCACTCAACTTGCTACTCTTTGACCTCACTCTTGTTCTTCTCTCTTTCAAGCCCATTTCCACGCTCTGTCTCTTTTGCATTCGGTGAAGCCCTCTTACCTATGGCATTGCCTCTCTATCATGAAGCCTAAGGTCCCTACATTTATCATGAAGCCTAAGGTCCCTACATTTTAAAATGTTAGGTACAAATCTTTGGAAAATGAGGAATGTAGTTGATGTTGGGTTTATGTGGATTTTAAAGGCCATGTGAGTGATTGTGAGGAGTGGGAGTGTGGTCCCTCATGGACCATACCATGCGAATGACGTTTGCAGATACCAGACTATACTTGACGGTCTAAGCCAGTTGGTTGGAAAAAACTCATATTACTTGGGCATAGTGAATAAACCGATAAGGGTTCTAATGGGTCATCCCTTGATGAGGTCGGAGTATATGCTTACATGAGTGAAGCCAATGAACTGTGTAACCCTTGTGTGTGATGGTGGCCTATGGAGACGGGGCCAAAGCCTCATCCATATACCATCATACGGCATGCATATTGATAGATCGTTCGGGAAAACAAACAAGCCACCTTTTAGGATGAAGCGTACACATGTG